AGGAGATTGTAAAGATAGTGGTGCCTTGATAAGAATAGAGAAATTTAGAAGAGGGGTGGGTTTGGGGGTTGAGGACAGGGAAGATTGTTAGTTTGGGGCATGTTGATCTTGAGATGCCTCCAAGAAGAACCAGTTTGAAATGTTCAATAGTCAATTAGTGTGAAAGACTCAAATTCGGAGGAGAGACTATGCAAAGTATTTAACCTGGTACACAGTGACTATATGACCCTGGGCAAGGCATTTAACCTCTCAGTGCTCCAGGCAATTTTTTAGTGCTACAAACTGTAGAACAGATTCTGGCCTGCATGAATAGAGGGAATTCCTCACTAAGAAATCATAGGTCTAGTTAAAAAAAATGAAGAGTGGAGTAGGGTGGAGGGCAAGGTATTAGGTTAGGAGCTGGGGAAATAAAGACAAACAAAACTATCTCTGCCACAAGGTTTCAATCTACTGAGAGTCGGAGTAAGAGAATGGAGTCAAGGTACAGTATGTATATTATTGTTGAGTAGTTTTTCAGTTGTGTCTGACTCTTCATGATCCCTTTTGGAGTTTTCTTGGCAAAGATATTAGAGTGGTTTTTGCTATTTCCTTCTCCAGCTCATTTTACAGATGAGGAAACTGAGACAAACAGGAATAAATGATTTGCCCAGGATCACACAGCTAGTAAGTGTCTGAGGGCAGATTTAAACTCAGGAAGATATCTTCCTGACTCCAGGCCTGGTACTCTATCCACTGAGTAACCCAGTTGACCAAAAGTATGTGTACAAGTAAGTAGATACAAAATATTATGAAAAGAATTGCATTCACACAGTTTAGCTCTTCATCACAGAATGTTAGAGAGACAAAGAAGACAGATACAAGATATATGGAGATAAGACCAACTCAGCAGCTGATTAGATATGGTATTTTATAGAGAGGGAAGAGTGAAGGTTATGAATCTGTGTAACTAGAAGGAAGTTAGTATTGTCAATAGAAATAGAGATATTTGGAGGGGAAATGGTTCCCACTTGGTGGACATAGAATCATAGGGTTGGAGATAACTATGGAATATGTAAGTACCTACCATATACAATGCACTTTGCTCAGTACTAGGGATACAGTAATAAAAATAAAATTCAGGGCCCTTCAGGAATTTATATTCTGCTGGGGTTGGAGTTGGAGTCAGTATGCCTTGCTTATCCCTACCTGCCTGCTCTTCACTTATGTCATTTCTTCTCAGTTATGATTACTTTTCTTTTGTTATCCATATGCTTTTCTGTGTAGTCTTCTTGGCCATTCTGTCCTCTCTTTCATCTTCCTTTCTTTTGAACTTCTAGCTTACATACAGTCTATACAAAATAATTAAGTGTTTTATTATATTCCCTTATATCTGTCATTCCAGGTGAGTTACGTTGGTAGTCCTACAAGATTTTAAGCTTTTTGAAGTTATGGAGCCATGTCTTATGCTGCATCTTTTCTTTCCTTCCCTATTCCCCCCTAAACTCCCTCATCTTGGCACAGTGCTAAATACATATATTTATAATTATATAATCTCTAAGGAAAGAATTAGAGGATCTTTGCCTCAGGGCACAGTTGTCCAAGGATGGCTTTTTTGTCCCAAGATAGGAGATTTAAAAAACCTCTAACAAGAAACTGTATTCAGTTAAGGAGGAAGGCAGGAGTAGAGCCTGACAGGGCTTGACCTGATAGTTGGTTGTGGATGGAGGCTGGTGATAGGAACCAGTAGATGGGGGCCAAACTGTCTGAACGATCAGATAGGATGCCAGTTAGAAGGCACAAAATTTAATGCAGAAAAGAGCTCATGTGTTTTAAGAAAAATTTCTGACATTAGGTTGGAAAGAATAAAGACTAGAGGAAAGGAGAACATTAAGGAGACTGTGGCATTCACTTAGTCTTAAAATGATGGTTACCTAGATTAGTAGTAGCCAGAGATATATGAGAAATATATTACAAAGGCAAAATTAATGGTATTTGGATAATGTTTATGGTGGTGTTAGAAATGAGGGTAGAATAATCAAGGATAAATTTAAGGTTTGACTGGGAGAATTTTGGTAGGAATAGAAAATGAGGATGGAATCAAGATTATTGGAAGAACATTAATAGAACTATAGAAGCCAGAGGTAATGCTGGTTTTTTGAGAGAGAAATTTTATTTTATTTTACACATGTTGCATTGAAAGTGACAGTAGAATACTCATGTGCATAATAGGAGAAATTTCACAAGAGGTATGATATTAAAATCAATAGTAGAAATCAAGTCTAGACATGCAAACTTTAGAGAGATGGAGAATATATCTGTTAAGCATTTACTACAAGCCAGGTACTATGATGAGTGCTGGCATTCAAATATAAGCAAGCAAGGCAAGTTTTGCCCTGAAGTAGCATACTTTCTAATGAAGATAGGGGAACTGGAACAGGGTGGGTGAGTGCTAAAGCAGTATAGTACAGAGATGGCCATAAAGTGGCATGGACTTTTGTTTCTGGGCTAGAAAAAGGTAAAAGGTCAGCTATCAGAGCCAGGGGACTCAGGAGAGAGCCTAATAGAGGTGACTGTTGATGATGATGATGAGAATGATACACTGACACTGATACTGCACTTCTTAAAGTTTTCAAAGTAATTTACATACATCAGCTCATGTTATCCTTACCACAACTCTTAAGGTAAATGTTATAGTTGTTATTTTTATTTTATAGATGAGGAAACAGAGGCTAAGATAAGTTAAATGACCTGCACATGGTTGCACAGTTGAAGTAAAAAAAAAAAGCAGATGTGATCTACAAGGGAGAGAGTGAAGAGTGGAAGATCACAATGTTAAAGATTAATATTGGACAATGGCCACATATAGAGGGTGGAAGGAATAATTATAAGGAATAATAAGAGCATAGAAAGAATAGTCATTGAAGTAGAGCCATGACAGTGGAATATTATGAAATCCAGGAGAGAAGACAGTTTCACAATGGAGATAGGGTAGTCAAATTTGAATGCTTCAAAGAGGTCATTTTTTAATTTTAAAGGACTTAACATGACTATTAGAAGTGATGATTAGAATTAATTTGGTTTCACCGGTAAACACCTTAAGAGTAAAGACTGTTTAATATTTTTTGTATTTGTATCCTCGGTGCCAAGAACGGAGCCTAGCACACAGAAGCTACTTACTAAATCTTTGTTGCTTGATTGATTGACAAACAACATTTTAACTTCAAATACATTGAGCATCTTATGAATTACATTCAATTGCCCTTTCAGATATCAATTATGAGTGTGCTTTTGAATATTTTTTTCCAATTTCCATTATACTATAAAAATACAGCTTGGGGAGTCACTTGTATGAATCTAACCACATATCAACATGAAAGAAAAAATTTTAATGACAAAATAAAACTGTGCCTATGGTTCCCAGTAGAATATTTCAATGACAATTTTAGCTGCACAGGTAACATTTTATCAAATTATCGTGGTGTTTTTCCATACTGAGATATTTTCAGTCAAACTGATTGGTACACATTAAAGCAGAATAGTCTCAACCTGGGCTTTTGTCCTTATTGTTCTTATGATATGACTGGCACAAATACTTGATGGGAGGGGGGTGTTTACATGTGATAATAGCCATATTTTTCCATTCCTTTATTCTCATCATAAGAAATCCTTTAGACAGTAGGAAAAAATCCTCAGTAAATACTGAATCAAATTGAGCATGATGCTCTATCCACTTCTACTTTAATAAGGAAACAGTGTGCTCTCCTAAATTCTTTGTTGTTGTTTAGTAGTTTCAGTCGTCTTCTACTCTTCATGACCCCTGTTGGGGTTTTCTTGGCAAAGATATTGGAGTGGTTTGCCATTTCCTTCTCCATCTCATTTTACAGATGAGGTAACTGAGGCAAATAGGGTTAGGTTAAGTGACTTGCTTAGGTTCACACAGCTGTAAGTGTCTGAGTCCGGATTCAAACTCAAGTCTTCCTGACTCCAGGCCTAGTGCTGTATCCACTGCATCACCTAGCTGTCATTCTAAATTCTAGAATGCCACAAAGGACCCCTTTTAAGGAGTTTAGAGAATAAAGAATGTATCTCAGGCCATTATCCCATAATTATCTTCCTAAAATGGGGTTTATCTCAACCTACCCTCTGAGCTACACATCATTTAAATTTTCTTAAGCACAACATTCTATTCACCATGATGTGAATAAAGCACTAAATTTGGAATCAGAGAAAGTGGGTTTTGAGTCCTAGCTACTTATTAGCTATGTGCCCTAGTTTCCTCATCTGTAAAATGGAACTACTACATACCCTACAGGGGCACTATATACCTTACAGGAGTATTGTAAGGAAACTACCATATAACAGTGAGCTATTACTGTTCTAATTTTTGGTAAAAACAAAAAAAATCCTTTCACTATTAACTATTGCCCATTTGTAAGATATTGATAAGCTACTTATGTAAATCAGTATCATTTAAAATTTACTGTTTAATCTCTGAAAAAAGTATGTAACATATAGTAATATCAATCTTTGAGAATACCACATGAATAGGAGTATGGATTACTTTTAAAAGATTTAAACCTGTAAATTATATGAAATTTAGAGCTTTGCTTTTAAATATTGAGATAAATGAGCAGATCATATTAGATTCTACTCAAAAATTTTGAAGATTGTAGTCTGGTGCATTGCTAGATGAAAGTGCAGTATTTCTAGATTGTTTTCAGTTTGACATTCATATGTGCTAGAAAATATACAGCCCAGTAAAATAGGAAAAAAGTCTAATAGATCACATCTTATTTTTAATGTAATTTTAAATGCCTTTTTAGGACAGAAGGTAATTATGTGAAGTTTTATGTTAAGTTATTTGAAAATAAACTGATGGCATTTAGAGTACAAATTCATCAAGTGTTTTCAAAATTCACTTTAAAATATGTAAAAATATTGCTTTCATCAATTTCCAATTAAATGTGATTATTATTCAGGCTTTAATTCATTTTTATGACTCAGTTTTCTATTGTTTTTAGCTATTGATGCAAATGTGAAGAATGAAAGTCTTTCATCTGTGCAGCAGCTTGGCATTAAAATGACTGTCAGGTATACTTTTTGAAACTGTCTCTCATGTATTTTCTGATTTTGTTTTATCTGCCTGGAGTATGTTTAATAATATTTATTTAACACCTCATGATTTTGTATTATTTAAATCAGAGTTCATCTTTAAGAAAATGAAACAAAAACTTGTTTTTTTAAAAGATATTAGCACATCATTAAATGATCTTTACAAACTAAAACTCTTCGTTATTCTAGAAGCCAGTTGCAACATATTTAAACTGTATCACTGTTAGTTCTTTCCAAATATAGCATTTTAAAATCAGCATGTAATAGCATAGTATTACCTATTTTCTAAAAATGTAATTACTTCTAATTGTTATTCTAGGGTGATGAGCACAGTAAATGTAAAAATAAATGCACAAATTAAAATTAATGAATTGGAATTAATGTAGTTGGGTTTCATAATTTTAAAGTTATACTCTGCTAAAGAAAAAATAAGTATAATGTGCTGACCTGGTAGTTAAAAATCCTGGTTTCCCTGACCCTCAGAGAATCACCTCTGTAAAACCAGGATATTAATACTGTTCTTGCCTTCAGAGGATCAAATAAGACAATTTGTATGAAAGCATTTTGAAAACATAAAGTATTATAAAAATTTAAGATTTTTGTTATTTTTCCTCACTTTGCCACTGATTGGTTGTGTACTTGGATATGTTACTAAGCATTTCTGAGTCTTGTTCATCAGTTGGGTATTGTGTAACAGATAATTTATCAGGCCCTCTCCAAAATCTGATAGGTCTTTAATTCCAAGTCCAGTACTTCACAGACTGTATTAAATCAGGATAAAACCACCACTAGAACTTTCTGTGGCTTTGAACTACCTATCCATTGTCCCCCCATTCCTGTACTATTATACTTCTTGAGAGTACTTCACACTTGCTGCCTCTACTTTCTCACCACCCTTTTATTGTTTAATCCCTTGCGATATGGCAGCCATTTCCACCACTCTTCTGAAACTTCATTCTTAAAAATCCCCAATGACCTTGTAATCCAATAAATTATTCACATTTTTCTTTTTTGATCTCTCTGTACTATTTGACCAAGGTGACAATATTCTCCTTCTTGAAACTCTTTGATGTCTTGGCCTCTTTAACACCTTCCTAAGCTGGTTCTTTTATCTCTGTCCATACATCTTTTATTCCTACTTTTTTTTCTCCTTTTGCCTCCTCTTGATATTTCTCTTCATGGATATTCAGTAGCATTACAAACTAAATTTGTCTCAAATTGAACATTTCTCTCACCCCTCTCCCACAACTTGCTATTCCTCCCAGTTTCCCTATTGACACTATCATCTTACATCTTAATCCTGTTGCAAAACTTCACTGTAATCTGTCTCCTTTCTCCCTCAACTTCACATATGATCACTAAATCCTGTATATTCTACAACATTATCTCTTGAATATGTTCCAGTTTCTACTGTTATCACTCAGATTCAATCCATTGATAACTCTTGTACTTGTTTTCTAACTGGCCTTCCCTGCCTCCCATCCTTCCTTCCTCTAACCAGTTCTGTATATTACTGTGAGATTACTCTTCCTTAAAATAAGGTTGATTGTGTTATATACTTCCCTGTTTCAGAGTCTTTAATGGCTTCCCATTTCCTCAAGCATAAAATCCAGACATTCCACTGGCATTTAGGGCTTTCCCAAATTATTTTTAAAATATATTTTATTTCACTGAATATTTCTTAATTGCATGTGAAAAATAAGTTCTTTAAAAAAATTAAGCTCCAAATTCTTTCTCCCTCATACCCCCCTTTGAGAAGGCAAGCAATTTTATATCAGTTATACAAGTAAATTCATGGAAAACATTTCTATTTTAGCCATGTTTCAAAAGAAAACACAAAGAAAAAGAATGCAAAAAAAAATCTTCAATCTGCATTTATATTTCATCAGTTCTTTCTCTGTAGGTGGATAGCATATTTCATCATGGGTACTTTGGATCATTGTCCTGATTAGAGTAGCTACGTCTTTCACAATTGATCATACTTATAATATTGCTGTTACTGTGTACAGTGTTCTCCTGGTTCTGCTCACTTCACTTTGTATGAGTTGATAGCAGTCTTCACAGTTTTTTTTGAGAGCATCCTGCTAATCATTTGTTCTTACAGCACAATAATATTCCATTACAATCATATACAATAACTTGTTCAACCATCCCCCAATTGGTGGCCATCCTCTCAAATTTCAGTTCTATGTTACTCTAAAAGAACTGCTATAAGTGTTTTTGTTCAAATGGGTTCTTTTCCCTCTTTTTGTTTTTTTAAATCTCTTTGGGATGCAGGCATAGTAGTGGTTGTATTATATTGTATTGTATTGGACTAGTTCAGAATTCTATCAACAGTGTATTAGTGTCCCAATTTTTCCATATCCTCTCCAGCATTTTTCATTTTCCTTTTTTGTCTTGTTAGCCAATCTGATTGTGTGGGGTGATATTTCAGAGTTGTTTTAATTTGCATTTTGCTAAGCAGTAGTGATTTAGGGCATTTTTCAAGTGACTTTTGGTAGCTTTGATTTCTTATTCTGAAAACATCCTTGTTCATATCCTTTGACCATTTATCAACTGGGGAATTGCCCTTATTTTTTATTAATTTGACTCAGATCTCTACATATTTGAGAAATGAAGCCTTTATTAGAGAAACATGTTGCAAAATTTTCCCCCAATTTCCTTTTCTCCTAATTTTGGCTGCATTGGTTTGTGTAAAAGTTTTGTTTTTCTTTTTTTTTTTATTCATATAATTAGAATTATCTATTTTGCCTCCTATGATCCTAACTTATTTGGTCATAAACTCTTCCCTTATCCATAAATCTGGCAGGTACATTTTCCCATGATATCCTAATTTATTTATGATATTACCCTTTATGTCTAAATAATTTATTTATTCTGACCTTATCTTGGTATGTAGTTTGAGATGTTGGTCAATGCCTAGTTTCTCCCAAACTGCCTTACATTTTTCCTAGCAATTTTTGTCAGATGGTGAGTTCTTAACTCCACAGATTGGATCTTTGAGTATGTTAAACATTAAATCACTTATGGTCAGTTACTACTGTGTATTGTATACCTAATCTATTCCCCTGATCCACCATTGTATTTCTTAGCCAATACCAGGTAATTTTGATGATTACAGCTTTATAATACAGTTTGAGATCTACCAAGCCACCTTCCTTCACACTTTGTTTCACTGATTTCTTTGATATTCTTGGTCTTTTGTTCTTCCAGATGAATTTTGTCATTATTTTTTTGTAGCTCTTGAAAATAATTTTTGATAGTTTGATTGGTATGGCACTGAATAAATTAACTTAGGTAGAATTGTTTGTGTAATCAATATTTTGTAATTATGTTCATATAGTTCCTGGGTTTGTCTTGGCAGATAGGCTCCCACATATTTTGTAGTGTCTGTAGTTATTTTAATTGGTATTTCTTTTTCTTTCTCTTGTGGCTGGCTTTTGTTAGTAGTGTACAGAAATGTTGATTTATGTGGTTTTATTTTATAGCCTGCAACTTTGTTGGAAGTTAATTCTTTCAACTACTTTTTAGCTGACTTTCTAGGTTCTCTAGTTATACCATCACGTTGTCTACAAAGAGTGATAATTTTGTTTCCTCGTGAACTGTTTTTATTCAATTTTTTTCTTGTCTAGTTGGTATTTCTAGCATAATACTGAATAACAGTGATAATGGACATCTTTGTTTCATTTTTGATCTTATGGGGGAGCTGCAAGTTTATCCCCATAAGAGATAATACTTACCCTTGGCTTTAGATAGGTAACACTTATTTTAAGAAAGGCTCATTTATCCCTGTGCTTTCTACTATTTTTAGTAGGAACGTATGTTGTATTTTGTCAAAAGGTTTTTCTGCATCTATTGACATAATCATATGAATTTTTGTTGTTTTTTGTTACTGATATGGTCAAGTATACTAAAAGCTTTCTTAATGTTGAACAAGTCACTTGCTGCCTTCCTAGCATAAATTTTACCTGGTCATACAGTATTTTAGTGATATAGTGCTGTAATCTCCTTGTTAGTATCTTATTTTAAAATTTTGCATCAATATTCATTAAGGAAATTGGTGTATATTGTTTTTTCTCTACTTTTGCTCTCCCTGGTTTAGGTGTCAAAACCATATTTGTGTCATAAAAGGAATTAAGTAGGACTTATTTCTCCTTCATTTTTCCCCAGATAGTTTAGATAGTATTGGGATTAATTATTCCTTAAATGTTTGGTAGAATTTACTTGTAAATCCATCTAGTTTGGGGGATTTTTTCTTAGATGTCTCATTAGTGGATTGTTCAACTTCTTTTTCTAAAGTAGAGGTATTTAAGTATGTTTTTTTCTTCTTTTGTCAATCTGGGCAGTTTATATTTTTGTAAATATTCATCTATTTCACTTATATTGTCAGTTGTACTGGCATATAATTGGGCAAAATAAGTTCTAAAATTGCTTTAATTCCATCTTCATTGGTAGTACATTCACCTTTTTTCATTTTTGGTACTAGTAATGTGGTTTTCTTCTTTCATTTTTTTAAACACATTAACCAAATGTTTATCTAGTTAATTTTTTTTAATAAATCTAGATCTTATTTTTATTTATTAGTTCAATTTTTTTAACTTTCAATTCTCCACAAATTTTCAGCATTTCCAGTTTGGTGTTTAATTGGGGATTTTTAATTTGTCCTTTTACTAGTTTTTTTTGTGGTGATGTCTTTTTTTTTTTTCCGTTGTTGTTTTTAGTGGCATGCCCAGGTCATTGATCTCTTCTTTCTCCCTTTTATTGAAGTACTTGTTTTGAGATATAAATTTTCCCCTAAGAACTACTTTGGCTGCATTCCACAAACATGGGTATGTTGTCTCATTGTTGCCATTCTCTTTAATGAAATTAGTGATTGTTTCTATGACTGGTTGTTTAAGCCACTCATACTTTTTTCTAGTATTATTTATTATTTAATTTTTGCTCCAATTACATGTAAAACCATTTTTAACATTCGTTTT